TATGGCACTGTTTTCAAAGTGGTTGCAGAATGGCCGCTTTATGAACTGCTCTAAAATTTTCCTGGAGACTGATGTCAGACCAACACACTTGTAGTTCCCAGGTTTTTCCATTTTCTGTTTTTGAAGACAGAGACAATATTAGCCCTCCTCCTCTCAACTGGCTCATCACTAGTCCTCCATGATTTCTCAAAGACAATACACAGTGGTTTTGAGAGTTCCTCTGCCAGTTCTGTTATTTGGCTAGGATACATTTCATAGGGCCTGGAGATTGGACTTGCTCAAGCTCAGCTCTGCTCATACCCAGCTTTAGCCTTCCTGAATCCATCCCTGTGATTAATTCCATGCAGCCTGACTCCACCCTTCATTGTAGCCAGATCTTCCTTCCACTTCCTATATAGATTCTTTTTTGTTTTCAGGTCATCTCTAAGCTTTTTGTGAAGTCACACAGGCTTCTTCTATTGTCTTCCATTTTTTTCTTGTACTTGTTTGCAGTTGCACCTTCAGAATTTTTTTTTTTAAAATCTCAAACTTTTCTCATTAGAACCGCTTGCCATGAAACTTACTTATCATTATTCTGAACTTATTAAAATTGTAGTTATACTGAAATCCACTGTATGCATTTGGCTATGCTCAATTTTTACTTTTTCTAGAGTCAAGAATTCAAGTATGACATGGTCATTTCCCCTCACAGTTCCTGTAACTACCATTTTATTCAGTAGGTCATCCCTGTTGGTTAGAATCAAGGCAAGGATAGCCAGTCCTTGGAGGGGCCATGCTTGGCAGAATTTGTCTCTCAATAGATACCAAGGAAATTGAAGTCCCCCAATACTAATAGGTACATCACAACTTCTTGAAACATTAGCAATTCGCTTTTCAAAAAGGTTATCCTCATCCTGGTAGTACACTCTGATCACCGTGTTCCTTGTATTCTTTGCTCCATATATTTTAATCCAGGTGCTTTTGATGGGGCTGCTAAGCTTATTCTTCTGCATTTCTGTGTGGACAGATGTATTTTTAACAGCTAGTGTGACTCCACCTCTCTCTCTGTCCTTTTTGAACAAGATATAGCCTTCAGTTGTCAAATTCCACTCATGGAAGTCATCCCACAAAATTTCAGTTCTATCATGGTGTTTGCCTCCTGTTATTAGGGGTTTGAGTTCATGTTGCTCATTTTCCATACTCTGGGCATTAGTATATAGGCATTGAAGATAATGTGCTTTGTGGTCTAGTTTTCTTCTTACAAGATTATTATTGGGTGCTCTTAGATGGGCTGCTGATGAATTTCTTCATTCTGCAGTCCAACACATTCTTCCTAGTCCTTGTGAGGCACAACCCATCCTTTGCCAGCAGACCGCTTTCCAGGAAGTGTAGCCCATGGTCCCAGAATCCAAATCTCTTGCATCAACATTTTCACAGCAAGGCACTCATTTGAAGTATTTTTCTTTCCCTTTCTATTCTTTCAAGTGTTGTTGTGGTTGTTTCATTCCTATACTGCCCCAAAGCTGAAGCTCTATGAAAAGATGGACTACAAAACCAACCCCAAAATTCTTGAGTTTCCTTCCTGAAGCTTCAAAATCTGACATGATTTCTTTAACACTTTGCTTGGTGGTATCATTTGCTCCCACATGGATGAGAAGGAGGGAATAAGCACTGGTAACCCCTCGTCACATTCCTAATCTATCCTTCCAGGGAGATAACATACCTGGCTTGTCCATTGATCTTCATGACATACGTGGACTTTCCTCCCATGCACGGGAGTCTCCCACAACTACCACTCTTCTATGCTTGTTGTTATAGGTATCGCTAGTGTCACTGGCTCTGCTTGATTGACCTTTAGCATCTTGCTTGCTGTTGCAGGGTGGCTTGCAGTTCTTTCTCTGCAGACTGCCCTCCAGTCCCTTCCTCAAGTGCCTTGCAGTGGTTCCATAGTTCCACTCCCTCCATCGGTGCAGAGTGCCTTCCAGTTATTCTGCACCTGTCACTCCTTCCCAGGGAGTCGCCTCTATTTTGTTTTTCCTTGCCTCAGGATTATCTCCTTCTGCCTCATCTTGCTGTTGCCTTTCTAGATGTAATGAGTAAGGTTGTATGTTACTTTTGGCAGGTAGCTGAGGGTCAGCAGGGCTGGGATACTGGAGGAGGAGGAGGAGGAGGAGGAGGAGGAGGAGGAGGAGGAGGAGGGGACCTTAACACAATGGAGATAAGAACTTTGAGAAATCAGAGACACAGGCCTGGGGTGGTGCCTTCCTGGTTGCTACCCACATGTTCCCAGGCCTATGAGAATGTTTTGGAAGGGACAGGAGGGGGTCAAAGAGGAGAAGGAAGGAAGAAGAGCTGTTGCTTTGCCTGGTCTCTGACCCATCATCTGGCCCTTCAAAAGCCAAAGCTGTCCTGAGGGTGGAGTCCACAGGGTCACTGAAAGGGGAGTAATCCCTAGGCAGGGTTTAACTATCGCTTTTGCTGTGTGCAAACTGAAATTTAGTTGACTAGAGGGCTTTTGGAGTTGTTTTGCCTTGTAGCTGTGAAATGTAAAGATCTTCTTTGTGAAGAGACTGTCTGGTGTTGTGAAGCCTATGGGCAAGAAAGGAAGAGCTGGTCTCATGACACTAGCTCCTGGACTTCCCTTTGTTGTTGTAGTTCCACCACAATGTCTAAGAATGCTTCATTTTTTCTTATTCCCTTGAGGGTGGACACCTGCTGCTCCGGTATCCCCCCCCCCCCCACGCACACCATTTCTTCTAACAGGGCAATCAGCCTTCCCTTGGTCATGTTGATAGGCAAAAAGCAAATATTCCACAAACTTTACAGGTCCTCACTACTGAAGAGTCCTTGCCATCTATAGCCTCTACTCCCTTTTGATCCTACCTTACTGACTGTATTGGCATGGCCTGTCCCTTGTGCTTAGGAGAGTCCTGCTAGAGTGTTACAAGGGAAAAAAAGATGAAGGACCTCCCCTGCCAGACCCTGCCAGCAAATGGCTATTAGTTTCCACTGTTTGCTTGCTCTGATGGGAGTTTGCTTGCTTGTATAGCCCCTAGCCCGGCTGGGGCAACTTCCTCTGCTCTGCTCAGGTAGGAGTCAAGAGTTCCATCAGGAGTGAGGAAACAGAATGACCTCTCTAGCCACACAGCAGCTGAGAGCAGTCAGGGCGCTCCACCTCAGTCCCAGCTCTCAGGACACGTCCTTTCAATAAGAACACCGCATCTCAGAAGAGGCAGTCCCTGGACTTACTGCATGCCGCTGAATCTTTTGCCTCTGCCCCCTCCTCTGCTACAACTCTGCTGCCAAACCTCTGCTAGCTCTCCCAATTTTCTCACCCTGGTTGCTTCTTCTCTAGGAGCCTGCATGCTTGTGTGACTCCTAGACCAGCGAAGGCAGCTTCCTGTGCTTAGCTAGGAGTCAGGAAATCGTGTGCTTTACTGTAGTGAAATCCTGTAAACCACTCACATGTTTTAGAACATACTAAGTGCTATACGAATCTTAATAACAATAATAAGCTCTCAACCCAGATTATTTATTTCTTTATTGCTGTTAGGGGCTGAGTAGTGGACATTCTGTCTGGACCACTGTGAGATAGTTTGGACTCCAACCTCAGAAATCCACTCCAAGGTCAGAGCAGACTCTGAACTCAGAGCACCGCTGTCAAGCATCACAGCCAGTACAGGAAGAAGCACACCAGTTCCAGCTCCACGTCTGGAGCCGCTCTTTGGGGGCGGCACTGCAGAGGACGGGAAGGGGAGGAGCCTCAGCCTGTCCTCCTTGCAAGCAGGCACAGGAGACTTAGCTGGAATTACCTGTCAACCTCTTTTGCAGGTGGGAGAAGCCCTTCACTTCTGCACCCCTCCTGTTCTCGATGGGATGCCCACAATCCTCTGACTCATGCTGCTCATCAGGGGACAAATTTAATCTAAGCCCAACCATTGATCAACCACACCGATACATCAGCTAAACCTTTCAGCTTACAAGGGTAAAGTTGGGTAGGGAAGGCATCACTTTTAACATGGCATAAGCCTGCCCTAAAAAAGCATGTGCAAAGGTCTTCTCATCCAGCCCCCAATACTTGACCCCAGTTTGATGGGTTCTCAGCATTGACATCTCAGAAGTGAAGACAAGGAGGGACTGACACACCCAACTTGTATGTGGGGAAACGAAATCCTTGGTAAAGGTCTACCTGGCGGAAGGGAAGCTCCTAGCGGGCTCATGCTGGCTTTGTTGGGCAGGGGGGATCCTGGTCCCTCCCAGCCCCCGTGCGCGCGCGCACAGACACTTTTAAGACGCAGAGGCGATCGCATGAAACACGAGCTCTCCCGGGCAAGGGCGAGCTCCTCGTCGGATCAAAGCCACCGTGAATGGGACAAAGGAAGGGCTGCATGATATCATGCGCCGACTTCATGCAGATATTTGCTGCTGAGGAGCGGTCAGCCGCCTTCTTTAGTGATCCTGGCTCTCTCTACAGCGGGGAGCTGCCCAGAGCCTTTGCAGAATCCTTTGCGTGAATCCCAGCCCTTTTCAGGGGTGGGGGTGGGTGAGGGTTGTCATTCCCCCGTCCTGGCTAGCAACCGAAGTCGGGTCAAAAAGGGCTGTCCTCGCCCCGGACATGATGAACAACTTCTTAGGGGATCTCTAAAAAGTGCTGATCTGCGTAAAACCTTGGGCGGCGCGGTGTTTGAGCGCGGGTCGGCGTGCGTTTGCTTCGTCTGCAGTTGGGAAACGCTGCCAATTCGAGCAGCACCGAGTACAGTTGCAGGGGCTCTCGGCGGCTTCAGCCGTGCGTCGCTCGGAAGATCCCCGCCGGCTTCTCTCCCTTCGACTTCATCGCCTGCCCTTTGTGCGCGCGTATGTGCGGCGTGGCCGGCGTTGCTGTTGTCTGCTTTATCTCCCCCCCCCCCCTTGTGACTACCGCAGGCTCCTCCCGCAATCTGCAAAAGGGAAAGTTCCCTGCAATAGAGGCGCGGGCTCTTCTCCCAAGTGCCCTTGCCTCCAACCGGGATCCGGCAGCAGGAGCCTCGGCGCACAGCACCATCCCAAGCGGGCAGCCTCGCCGCCCGGGTGCTCTTCCGCCGCAGCTGCAGGTTGCTCCTGTGGATGCTGCTCCGAGGCTCCGCGGCTGCTTCCTGTCCTCGCTCAAACAAGGTAAGTGAGGTGGCGCGTTGTTGTGGCTTGAGGCTCCCAGCCAGCGGGTCGGGTTCCCTCCCTCGCACGGATCTGCTGGGGGCTTTTGGACGCTACCAGCTTGAGGAAGAAGCAACTTTTCCTCTCGGTTAGCAACTTTGAGTGCTTTACCTGTCTCAAGGCGGTAACTCTGGCTAAGTTAGCAGTGGGTGGATGAGGGTCAAGGCGTCCATTGAATGGGTAACGAGAATGGAGCAAGAAACTAGAAATGGTAATCGGTCAGATCCCAGCTTAATGGGGGTGTTTGCGGGGGGGGGGGGGCGAGTCACATCCAGAATAAAGTGGAATAGCATGAGGTGCTAACCAAGAGTTTCTGCTCACAGATCCATGAGTTCGGAATCGGGCATTAAGTTCAGAATTAGATGTTTCAGACCCAAACCTTTAAAAAATCAGTGATCAGGTTTCTTCTTAAACCAAGGCATGCAGCATTATATATGTATCTTCACAACTTAAAACAAAGTTATCCACTCACTTTATTCAGTGTAATTGCAAATCCTCCTTTGTATCTTAGACTAATTTCTTCAGACCTGTTTTTTAAATATTGCTTTCTCATCCAACCCTTTTAGCAAGAATATAGATTCCTTCTTTGCAATTCCATCAATTTTATTTATTGGCTTTTCACTTTAAGCACCTGAATAACTTTTTAAGAATTTTTTAAAAGAAAATGAGTATGAGTTTTTGTTTTGACATCTTGGCATGTATGGGGTCTCAGCAAGAATATATTCTTTGCTGAGTAAATCAATAGTTTTGATTCAGCCTCATGCTAAATCCCCTTTTGCTCTTCTCTCTGCCAGTTTGCTATTCCATTAATGGAGCCATGAGTATTGTGATCAATAAAGGGTAACATCAGAGGATTAAAAAGGCAAGCCTGTGGGGAGATGTGCTTTAATATTGAATTAATTGATTTTATTAATTAAAATATTGAATTAATAAAGTTCAACAATATTTTGAAATGTTATAAAGGTCATAATGAAGAATGCAAAAGTTTATTGATTCATTTCCCTTAATTATCTAAATCATTAATATGCATATTTGTTTGGAATTTAAAATTAATACAGGATTTTCAATACCTTGCCACTTCACTCATGGAATCTTTTTATCTGTTTCTCACCCTGCACATTTGCTCATACAACTAAATGAGAAAACATTGTTTGAGAAGATTGATGATCATTTTACACTATGGAACAAGCCAGTACAGTAAGATAGATACCAGTTATTTAAAAGATTAAGGTCACAATCCTACATGCACATACCTGGAAATAATTCCTATTGAACTCAGTTGGGCTTATCTATGAAAAGACATGTATAGGATTGTGCTGTTAGGCTATAATCCTAAAAACCCTTATTATTGAGTGAGTCTTACTGAAAACTGTGAGACCTAATTTTAAGAAAACACTTAGGATTGCACTGCAATATAAATCAGGTTCAAGGTAAATGAAAAGTTTTAGTAATTGCATCTATATCAAAGTCATACAGTATTCTAAGTTGAAACTACCCAACCGTGGCCAAAGGATCTGTACCACATACATCATTTTTAAAAACCAAAATCTGTGTCTGTTCAGGCAAGGTATGCCAGTGATCTACTCCATATATTGTCCATATGTTATGTACTAAGTGCACTTAAATGATATGGCAAGTGACTTTTATACTTGGATATGATGAGGCATAATTTTAGCAACTTGATTTATGGAAGCTATCACTGCATAATGCCATATATTCTGCATTTTCCTCTGTCACCAGGATGGAGGAAATATTAATCTTCATGGTGGTCTTTCCCTACAATGGGAAGGCATTTTCCTTCTACTTCTTCCTTTACTATTAGCTCTTCTAATTTGACTGAATGTTGTTAGCTTTGCTACAGCTGTTTAATGTGCATGCTTCTTCCCTCAGTGATCTTAAAAAAAGAAAAGAAAATATGAACCTTCAGTCAGATAATTAATGAATTGATGGTTTGAATTATTTGTATCTATTCTGCTACATCAAGCTTCAGCATTTTTACCAGCCTAGATGCATTTCTTACAGAGCTTCCTTATGGCAGCTTAAATGTAATAAGTTTGTAACATTCTTTCGAGAGCGAACTGCCACCATACTATTTGACTGACTAGCCCAGTCTTTCTGTTCCATCAGTGGAAGGGACTGAATTGCATTCAAGGCATGTGGTCATGATTCTACCTTCTTGTCTTCTCATAGGCCATAGAGAAAGGATATGATGGTAGCAATTCATTTGTTTTATTACTAGATCAATAGCAAGCGCATGTTTCAAGTGCATGTTTCAAGTGCATGTTTAAAGTCCAACAAAGTGGTGTTTGAAGAGTTACTTTAATGAATTTCTTCTGTAATCAGTGCTTCATTCCCAGTTTGATACATGTTTTCTTCTACACACAAGCCATGTGGGGTGACCTTGGGTACATATTTGTATTATATGAACTGAAATGTAACCTGTTAGGTATAGCAGGCAGCAAGTAACAGACAGAGAAAAAACATTTATTATTAACATTTATATACCACTTTATTTGTTAAAAAGCATCAGGGCAATTCACAGCAACTTAAAACAATAAGAACATTAGATCAATTTTAGAGTTCAAAACTCATGGGCCTCACATCTATGATTGTTCAGTCCATATGTACCAAATTATGGACAAGCCTAGAAGTTGTCTGGATTAGTGATTTGGGAAAACTTGATGTTGTGATTTTGTTGAAGATCTAGAACTGAACTGCATCTGACTGGAGAGCTACTAGAAGTTCCTAAAAGTTGTTTTGAGCCTTCCAAAAGAAGAACAGTGTATGTTCCTTGAGTGGGAAAAAGGGGTCCTTGTTGTGGAAGAAATTGTGTCAGCACCACCAGTACATAATGCATCAAAAGCATGCTGCTTATTGTTTGAATGCAAAGCAAAATATAAACTTATAAAAAGACCTGTGACCATGATGATGCTTCTTCCAGTAAATGCTGAAAAATTTGAGACTCGCGAGATTGCAACTTGTTCATGTTCTCCAATCTGTTACTCTTTCCCAGCAACTCCATACACCCAGCTTAAAACCTCATGCATCTATTTAATCTCCTTGCCAGGACCCTTTTGGGTAGAGACAAGCAAACCAGCTAAAGAACAAACCCGCATACTTTTTCACTTAGGGTGCACGCCTAGGCATGGTCATATAGTAAAGTCCCACAACTCCCAGCATGGCTGTTTTTTAATATCTAAACATTCCTAGGATTGGGCCCTTAGAGGCTCAACAAAGAGTTTCAGCTTCTTCACAAACGGACCATCACAATGACCTACTGGCTCTGAGCTTGTAAAGGTTTATGGCTGCAGTTGTTGCAGAATTGTAAAATCAGTGGCCCATTGCTGTAATTCTGTCTGGAACGTGGCTTGTATATCTCAATTTAAATCTAAGGACACATTGAAGGGCAGCATTCTTGCACCAGGCTCTGTTGTAGCAACTTTGTTCTGAGGGCACAAATCCAAATTAGTTGGACTAGAGCTGGGACTTTTAGGTGGTAGGAAGCAACAGCGATGTATGTGGGAGAGCGAGAGCGAGAGGGAGACTGGAAGAACGGAGGGCGGCATTGCCACAGTCAAAAGTGTGTGTGTGTGGGCAGGTGCATGTAAAGATGAATTCAGGAGAGAAATCTATTATTTATTTACAAATGTATCATTGCATTCTCAAATTAATAGCTCTTAAAATATGGATAAAAGCATATAATCAGCATTATTAAATAAAACCATGTATGAAATCAAGTCATTAGCAAACACAAAAATGAATAGATGCACAGCAACAAACAAGCAAATAAATAAAACCAAATAAACCTTAAGAACCACTATCCATAAAATGTTGCAGCCAGCAGCACTAAAACAGTTTGTCTGCATTTATTAAATGAGTAAAGAACAGAGAGAAGCTAAGGGATCCAAAAGAAAAAAAAAACTGCTGTCTTTCTTGGATAATATTCTGTCAGTGAGAATACATGTAAGCTTTCTGGTATTGGTTAGCTGCAGAAGGCTAACAAATGTGCCAAGCTGTAGATGGTATCTAAAGTCAAAGAATATAGCATTTTAAAAGACACAAAAGGCACAATTAAATCTCTCAAACATGCTAATCCCATTGCCTATTAGACAGAAGTAGGCTGAATTGAAGCAGAACTTTAATTCTACATGTGAGCCATTCATACTGATATACCTTAATCCTTCCAGAGTTCTGTAAAAGCTACTCAAACTATATTATCTGAATAGGCTTCCTATTGCATTTGGCCTCATATAACAGGTAAATAAGGCTACAATCCTATCCATATTTGGATAGAAAACATCCTGCAGTTCCTAGCATTCCCCTGCCGGCTCTGAACTGCTGGAAGTTGTGGGATCCTTTGTGCCTAAAAATGCACAGGACTGCACCCAAAATGCCCTTCTCTTTAGCAGTGCTTTTAGCTAATCTACTAAACCACCATTCTGGTTTCTTTCTAATTTTCATCTGATGGAGCTTGCAACTACTTTCATCTTACAACTCTAACTTCATAATACCTTTCAGCAATCAATCTGCAAGATCTTAACCACTTACGGTGCCGATCTGGCCATTTCCATCCAAGCCCGAGTTCTGTAAGAGTTTAACTGGATCCAACCACAACATTACCTTGTTTGAGTCACTTTCATAATGTATTTTGCATTGATGGGCATGTTGCCACTCTGTCTCACAAAAATGAAATCACATTGATCATACATGCATCACTTGCTTCCTGAAGCAACCCTCTAGTAGTCGAGATGCAGACAGCATGTTGGTCTTCTAAGCCATCATGACTGCATCCCGCAGTCCAACAGTTCCTGGTCTAGAACTAATGTGTGGTTCATGGTGCTCTTCCGCTGCAGGCCCTTGTTGCAGTTTGCTTGCTAGCTACCCAGCAACACTCTCTGAGCCAGCCTTGCCCTGCAGGAGGGCGAAGGGATCTTCCTGCTTGCAGCCTGGGCAGCCACCACTGTTGCAGCTGCATCAGTGCGAAAATGCATCCCCCTGCAGTGTTGCCCACAGCACTTCGGCAGTTGGCAGGTCCCACCTAAACGTTGTGCTTCTAAATGCCTCCACGTTTCAATTGAAAGTTCCAACTGAGGCTTTTTAACGGAGGAAAGAGTTGGCTTCCTTTGATCTGGTAGCCAGCTTATTGCCCCAAATTCTGTGTGCTTGTTTTGTGTCACCACTCTGACTCTTCCCCTTCGCTCAGACAGAAAGTGGAGAGAACAACCAAGCTTTACGGCTGGCGTGGGGTCCTAAAGCTGGAGGAAACATGAAGATCATATACAAGAAATTGAAGCTTAATCCAGGCAGAATGGAGGTGCTTTTGATGGATTGCTCCCTTCTCCTAATGGCCCCAGCTGCAGCTGCACTCTCCATGAAGGACAGGGTTCAAAGTTTGGGGGTGCTTCTGGACCTAGAGCTGTCCCTGGAATACCAGGCCAGGAGCACCTTCCATAAACTTCGGCTGATGTACCAACTGTGTTCCTATCTGGACAGGCAGAATCTGGCAGCAGTGATCTGTGCCCTGCTAACATCTTGGCTTGACTACTGCAATGAGCTCTATGTGGGGCTGCCCTTGAAAATACTATGGAAGTAGCAATTGGTACAAAACAGAGCAGCACGTCTGCTTAGAGGGACTGGCAGAGGAGCTCATATATTGCCAGTCCTATGCAAACTGCACTGGTTACCGACTGCAGTCCAAGACGGCTTCACGGTGCTTATATTACATGGCTTAGGTCCTGATTATCTGAAGGAACATCTCCACCCATGCCTGGGCCTCAAGATCATCTTCAGAGGGCCTTATCCAGGATCCATCTTTAAAGGATGTGAAGATGACAGCTACCTGGGCAAATGCTTTTTGGGCAGTGACACCTCGTTTATGGAATTTGCTCGCCAGAGAAATATGTCTGGCACTGACACTGCTCATATACCAGCAGCAGGCAAAAACATTTCTATTAGCTCAGCAGTGCAATGTTTAAACAACATTTTATTAATAACTACATGTAGGGTTCCTGACTGCTAGCAGAGCAGATCAGAACAAGCTGCCCCAGCTGGTCTAGGGCCTCTGGGATACAAGCAGCCAAGTTCCCAGGGAGCGAGTGAACAGGAGTTTGGAGGCAGAGTTTGGTGGAGGAGCTCAAGGGAGAAGTCCCAAACATTTTCACCCCTTCCTTCCTTCCTTCCTTCCTTCCTTCCTTCCTTCCTTCCTTCCTTTCCCCATAGTCCCCCCACCCCAACACACACACTTGTTTTCCTCCTTGTAGCACACTCCCTTTTACTAGTAGGACTGTACTGCTAGTCTTTGGTGAAGACAGGAGAAAGCACCCGTTGTCACAACAAGCCCCCAAGACAGAATCGCTAAGGACAATGGAGAAACAATGGATCAGGAAGACTCCACAGTGGCGGTGACCTGCAACAACTGTGCAATGCTCGTTTTCTTACCTGTGAGCAGCGTGGCCTACGCATGCAGCAAGGGCAAGCTAGGAGCCCTGCTAGAGGAAAGGGTGAGGGCACTGGAGCTGTGAGCGTCCACCCTCAAGGTAATAAAAGAAGAGTTTTTCGACAGAGTGGCAGAACTGCAACAGCTCAGCATAGTCCGAAAGGAAGAAGTGCATCAACAAGAAGACAAGGACCCTGAGGGAAGGGGAAATGAGGAGGAAACTTCCTGGAACCAGGTAACTGTTAGTTGCAGAAGAACGAAAAGACACTGTGCACCAATCTTTAACCATTTTACATTTCTTGGGGAAGAAATGAGTAAGAAATCTACTGTAAAAGAACTACATGACGCACTGAGTAACTGAAAAAGGGACAAAAGATCATTCAGGTAAGGAAAAAGATTGCAAGCCAAAGCTTGCAACAAAAGGAGAAGAATGATCCTTGTGGGAGATTCCCTGTTGCACAAGATGGGAAAATATGTGTGTCACAATGACCCAGAGAATCGTCAAGTATGCTCTCCCTGGAGCCAAGATTAAAGATATTACAAGCAAGTTCACACATCTCATACAACCCGCTGACAAATGGTCCTTCCTTCTCATCCATGTGGAAACTAATGACACTGCCAGAAGAAGCTTTGACAAAATAACCAGACTTGGAAGCTATAGGGAGGAAAATGAAAAACACTGGGACCCAAATGGTCTTCTCCCCAATCCTACCAGTATGTGGAAGAGAACTGACAGGGAAATAAAAATCCTTCAAATGAATGACTGGCTGTGATGGTGATGCCATAAAGAGAGATTTTGTTTCCAGGACCACAAGCTAAAGTGCCTGGAAGACGAACGATTGGCAAATGATGAGCTGCACCTCATAACGAATGGAAGTACGTGTAAGGCCTCTGCATGAAAAGGTTCTTCAGGAGGGCTTTAAACTGAAATATACAAGGGAGGTAGAAGTGCAGCACAGCATACCCTCATCTGACAAAGAACTTAGGTGCTTCAATAGTGAAAAACTCAAGCAGGGTCTGACATCCGTCTCCCAAAAAATGTAGGAAGAAAACCAGGGCACAGCAAGAATGAGCTCTGATGTCTTTACACCAGTGCCCAGAGAACGGGAAACAAACAACACGGACTTGTGCATGTTCTGCACATTCGTATCTCCAGGGCTGGGCTGAAAGCAACAGAATGAGATTCAATAGGGACAAGTGCCAAGTCCTCCACCTAGGAAAAAGGAACCAAACGCATCAGTACAAGATGGGGAATACATGGCTCAACAGAACTGAAAAGGATTTGGAGTTATTGTGGACAACAGGCTAAATATGAGCCAACAATGCAGTGCAGCTACAAAAAGGGCAAATGCTATTTTGGGATACATTAACAGAAGCATTACTTCCAAATCACAAGGAGGAGTAGTTCCCCTGTACTCCTCACTTGTCAGACCTCATCTGGAATACTGTGTCCAGTTCTGGTCACCAAGATTTAAGAAAGATGCAAAAAAAAATAGAAAGGGTACAGAGGAGGACAACAAAAATAATCCAGGGTTTGGAAACACTGCCCTATGAGGAGAGGCTGAGAGACTGGGCTTGTTCAGCCTTGAGAGGAGAAGACTGAGGGGGACATGATATCCCTCTATAACTAACTCTAAGGCTGTCACAAAGAGTAAGGTCAAGATTTTGCTGATACACGGAATAATCAAGTCAAACTGTGACAACCCAGATTTGGGCTAGATATCAGGAAAATCTTCCTCACTGTCAGAGCAAAATGATAGTGGAACCAGCTGCCTAGAGAGGTGGTGGGCTCTTCCACACTAGAGACATTCAAGGCAAAACTGGGCAGCCATCTGAGTGGGATGGCGTAACATGGTGTCCTGCAACAGCAGGGGGTTGGACTCGATGGCCTTCTTGGCCCCTTCCAGCTCTACTATTCTATAAGTCTTCACTTTACTTTCTGCTTTGGGTCTTGTTTTTATTTGCTTTAAGTGGGGTCTTGCATTTATTAATTTGTCTAATTATATTGTAAATTGTTTTGCTTAGCTTTACTAATTGTTTAATTGGAATGTTTTAGTGAGTGTCACTTTGTTTTAATATATAGTCTTATGTTTGGGATTTTATGGAATGTAAACTGTTCAGGGAGCTGACATGGCAGTGTGAATGCTGTACAATATTTTTCAAGAGACAAACAAACAAAACAACCTAGGCAGGCTTTCAGGCAGCCTTCCTTCAAATCCCCCGCTACCTAACCCTTTAACTGGGACCATTTCATAACCGTTTGTGCAACTACTGAGTGGCGGCCCCTCATTTTGAAGGAATCTGTGGCTCAAGGTACATTTTAAGATAGCCTCCCCCAGCCTGCTGTGCTCCAGATACATTGGAGGTGCAGTCCAACACATCTGGGGGTGCCAGGCTGGGTAACGCTGTGCCCGGGGAGTCGCACAGCATGTGCAGGCAGGCACTTCCGTTCAGCTCTTGAGATGTATAGGCACAAGGAACTTTCCACTCCTCTCTTGAGATACCACTTAATCATTTGCACTCATATAGGCAAGGCCAAGACCATATTAATTATATTTACACATAAGTACTTGAGGTTCCATTATTGCTTCCAAGTGCAGCAACTGACAGTCCTGCAGCTCGCAGACTGCAGAAGAGGCCATTAATCAAGCCATCATAGTGAAAAATACTCTGGCTGATCATGCATTCTGGTTGCATAGGCAGCTCATGAAGTCATTACTGGTTATTCGTTGCGGAGGTCAATATAATTCTTTGTATCAGCAGGATTTTGACATATATGTTTATCAGGGAGAGATTACTATTACTAAGCAAGTTTGATATAGTTCCAAATGAAATCTTTATTTTTCGGCTAGCTCAGTCCTAGCTGAGAACAACAGAAGTGTTTTTCCCTTTAGACAGAAGCGGCACACCCTCTTTCCCTCATGTTTAGTACCAAGCAGAATTTAAATTTTCATAAAGGGGTGCAAGTTGTACCAGCTGGAATTCATCAATTTAGCTGTCCTGAAATATGAAGACACCAGGCACAATGCAAGACGTAATCAGACAGGCAGACCTGATCTTGCTCAGACAGGCTGAAAACTCCACTGCTAGGAATTTATGTATTTACATATATTTATAGGCCACCTATAATTGCTGAGGCCTTCCTATGAAAGGTCAAGGAATGAAAGAAAACTGCCAATAATGCCCTTGTGCATCCTTTAAAAGTGTCTCTCACCTACATGTTCTTAACACTTGTTCGGGTGTGGCAAATTTGAGAGCTTTATGCAGTTGCTCAGTTCTGGCACTTCTGGAGCTGATTTCTTCTTCCTTTTCTTCTCAAGGCTCACAAGCAGGAAGGCCCAGAGTTTGGCGAACTTGAGTGAGATAATCTTCCTGTAGTCCCTTGTGCTGAAGGATGATGTAACTGCGGAGCATCTACCAAAACCACCATGGGCGCTAACACTTCCAGCAAGTCACCGGCCTTTGATGAGAATGGAGATGGTGAGAATATTGTGTTTGGAACACTTGGTTCAGTTAGGTGGTGGTGGGGAGATGTCTCTGTGAAGGCCTATGGAAGAGCTCTGCCTGGTCACTGATCCAAGACTGGTGTTGGTTTCAGCTGTTGGTTGGTGCCGAACAGCCACCCCGAGATGCAGTGTTCACCCCTACCCAGGTGTTGTGTTTTAAGCAACGGGCTGTCCTGTCTTGCCATGCAGTGCCTCATGGCTTTTGATGTTCCTCCTATGGGATCAGATGAACAACTGGTGGGGTGGAATGCTATGGAACATGATTTGTAAACACGTTTCTGACGTGTCATGGGTGAGTCAGGGTTCCTGATCTGCAAGTCCTGCTATGCAGCCCAGGGACAGAATATTCCTGAATTATTTAACTCAGCCTTCCTCAACCTGGCGGCCTTCAGAGGCATTTGGACAACAGCTCCCAGAATTTCTATCCAGCAGGGCTATTGACTGGGGATTCTTGGTGTTGCAGTCCAAACCTGTCTGGAAGGCACAAGGTTGGGGAAGGCTGGTTTAACGGTACACTTTTAAATTGGGAGCCATCAGCTAGAATTTATAAAGTCCTGGCTTGTTGTGTTGTTTGAACTTGGATGATATCTTTTGTGTTTGTTACAATGTTTTTAGTCCTTTTTCTGGGATCTGGCTGGATATCTGAGCTGATTTTGACATAGTAACTTGGTTTTCAGTCTGACACTTTTGAGATACTTCTCTTCAAAGCTTTGGGCTGGGGTAGAGGCCACTGCGAATGCCCAACACTACTAATGGGTTTACAGGCTGTTGTCTTTGTAAGATTGTAGTAACTCTTTCTACTTGCTGTAAGGGACTTATTAGAGGGAGGGGAGTTTGTTTATTACGAATTAACAACGTGCTTTGCTTTTGACACGTGAAGAGCTTTTCTCAGATTACTTTTCAAAAACATAGCTGTACTCTTGGGACTAATTCAACTGTCAGCTGAAGATGTATGAAGCCATGGCTAGGATGCTGAAAGTGCCATCAAGCATCTTGGAAGTAGCTTTATGCATACTGTACTTACTTCTCTCTAAGGGCTCCTTGTAAGAGTAGCTGTACTAGAACAGCTCCTTCTCGAGGCTCTCAGTAAAACTGGAAGTCTGTATTCTTGCAGAATGTGTCAGTGCTGTGCCTGACACAACACTATCCCTGTTGTCCTACAATGTGTAGAAGCCACAACAGACATTACTTCACATGTATATCTAGCAGGATTTTTATTTAGACTTGGCACAAATTGGATTGGTACCTTAGCGTGAGTGTGGGGAGGTTGGAGGCTTTTAAGATCCAATTCAGAATAGAGCCACCAGGGTATTAGCCAGGACCTGCATACAGCAACTGTTGGTGTCCATTGGCTTTGGTGGTATGGAGGTCAGAGCAGCTAAGAGTAGGTGAAACGGAAGGGAGGCAGCAGGTAGAGCCAAAGAGTCCCAGGAGATGGAACTATGATTGTGTAGAAAAGGGAAACTTGGGCGATGTAACATCGAGACCATGATTGCAAAGCAGACTGAAAAATAGCAGAATGGCAAGAAAAGCAGGGAAAAGTAGCAAGCAGTTGGACAATCTCCATCCAGACAGAATGATCCATTCCCCCAGGATACCAAAAATAGAGAGGAAAATGGAGAAAACATGGGGTGAGTAGGGACCAGCTAATGGCGACTCATCAGTGAAGAGAAGCAGGAAGGCATCCCGGTGGCTAACCCACTCCGCACCAGTTGCTGCAGCTTCCAAAACAGCTGTAAGGGCATTCCCACACCAAGCTCAATTCAGTCAGTCAGTTTTGAGTGAATGTGATCCATATTCACCTGGCTCACAGGACCAGGCTGTCTCTGTCTAGCAATGGGCACACCGGCGAACCAAGCTAAGCTCGGGTAGCTTGGTGCTCCCAGCGGCGGTGATCACTTGGGCCTCCAAGGGAAAGAGTAACTCTGAGGAGCACCCACAAACTGTAAATGGGTTCCTTCAGTAGGAGTGCAACCCTGTCCAGGGCTGGTAACTCTGGTTCGCCAGCCAGGACTAACTGGCCCTCGGGGCCTCCGTCTTATTAGGGATTTGGCTTCAGTGTATTGGTCCTCACCTAGCCCACCTCTGCTTTCAGGCACTCTCTCGGCCATGCACAGCCTCTCCTGACTCATGTGGAACCGAGAGATAGAACCGGGGGTCATGAGCACATCGGGGGCACCACGCCCCACTACCCCGCAGGACCACTCCCAGTGGTTTCATGTCGATACTAAGTGCACTGGAGATAAAATGAGACCTTGGGACACCTCACAGCAAGGAGGGCTATTTACAGTTCCCAGTGTTATTCCCTGGAACATGTCCTGTAGGAGTAGAACCAGTTTTGTTCCTTGACTGTACTTTCAAACAGTCTAATAACCTAGGTAGCTAATGATACATTAAAAGAATACAATACAAACATTAAAGCAAAAGTTAAACAGCCCAGAATACAACCAAGGGTCAAGACCTTGGTTTTAAATCCAAGGCATCAAAGAATAAAATCAATTCAATACATGAAACCAGAATTAACACCAGCAATAGAATAAAATGCTAAAAGTGCTAGAAGCAATTGCCAAAGTCTGCAAAGTCAGTCCAGGGTGATATCATGCTCAATTGAATAAAAAGCCACTGAGAGGCTGAGAGCAGAGTTGCACGTTTCTGTTGCTCATCCATCAGGGTGGCCATGGCACATTCCAGCTCATGCTGTAGCTGGGATTGAAAGGGTTGATTGAGGTGGGCAAGGCGTGCCCCTCCAGATGTTTTGGTCTATAAGTTCTCTCAGCCCTAGCCAGCATAGCCAATGATGAGGGCTCATGGGAGTTGTAGGCCAAGGAACCTAGAAGACCACTAGATAATTGGTATCCTCCAAGAAAGCCTGCAGTGCCATCAAGCGCCTTGGCTGTGGTGAAGCATTCACATCTGGGTAGTAGATATTATAAACCTCCAGGTCCAGTGGCATGATTACTGCTTTGTTCAGTGATACATTCTCCACTTCCTGGACCACCTCGTCACACCTCCTTGGCTATCTCAAATCAGCCATGTGATGTCCTCATAGCAAGGGTTATGAACTACTGTACCATCTCAGCAATCTGAGATCTTTATTCTGCCCCCTGACCTTGGTACCCATTCCCAGGTATGACTTCTAAAAGCTTTGAATGTGTTTCCTGTAGGACAGAGCCAAGAGACCGTGGAAGGTATGATTATGAAGTCACCTCAAGTAGATCAGCTATACGCTTTGCATGTCTTGTGGTGCTCCAACCAGAGGAATGTCTTAAAATAAATGCTGAAAGTATTCCTAGTAAATTCTACTGCACAGCATCACCTCCTCTAGTATCTCCCTGCTTCAGGGCTTCCTCTGCTGTCTGCAACATCTGCTTACATAATATACTGTGAAAAAAAATCAGTTTGGGATAATATCTCTGGAGAGCTTCCAACTATTAGCTAAGCATTTATATTGCAGGTCATGAGCTCTCTGCTTGTGGACCTTTCCCTTTCTTCCTGTGCCAAGCAGCTCCTGCACCTTTGAAAAAAAGGCTTCTGCAGTGTCTGTGTTGAGCGGTGCTTTTTTTCGGCACAACTTCTGGCTCTGCAGGACCCCCCCTTTCTGCCAGCAGTGAGACAGAAGCCACCCTGTAGAACAAAGTCCCCGCTGACAGCGCAGTTTGTGTTTCAGTCTACCTTAAAGAATGATGCTTCGGGGAGATCCTGTATGAATCAGGCAAGCTGTGCTCATGCAGGGGTCAGAGGACCTCTTCACAGCAGCTCAGGGAGTGTGGTTCAGCCGAAAGACCGGCACAAAGATCTGGATCCAGTTTGGCACGGCATTATGCAAAGTTACATGCTCCGAAGTGCTGTATGTTCTAGCTGCTAGCTCTGCATCTCTCTTGAGTGGCGGCACCTCTCACTGTTCCAAAACGGCCTCCTGTCCCTGCTTCTTGCCATCTGATAGCCCAGGAGGATCTGCTCTCCTGGAATCCCAGGGTGCAATCTGAGCAGGGGGCACTACAGCTTAGCTGCCTCAGGAGCAATTTTTACACGAGGGTGCAAATTAATATGCTGAATTTTAATAATATCAATATCCACTGAGCATATTCAGTACAGCTTTCCCCATAGTAACTTGTACCCATCTGGCTTTAAAGGAAAGGAGTTCCAAGCGAGTTTGAGCACGGGCATCTCTGCCTAGAAATCAGCCCCTGGTGGGTTCATTCCAGAATGTCTTCCTGTGACCACCAGATGTTAACTGGAGTTGGCCACTTGTTAAAGGGTGATTTATCGGATTTCATCATGAGCAGGGAGCTGGACCAGATTGAGTCCCTCTCAGATCTACGAGTCTCATTGCCTTGCGATCTCCAAGGAGTTTAGGAATATTTTTCTGCCCAGCTGCTTCACATACAACAAATATTCTGGGTTGCTATCACTTTAGTAGAGGAAAGTGTGTGTGTGTGTGTGTGTGTGCGCGCGCGCGCGTGCGTGCATGCGTGCGTGCGCATAGTAACTGTGGAGTGCTGCGTCTGCCGAATGCCAAGTGCTTTGTTCGGCTGCCCCAGCCTTATGGGAGAATACCCTGATTAGTGATTTGCCCCCACTATTTATCCACAAAGCAAAACTTGCACACAAACTATGTTGAGGTCGTGTTTGTGTACAATGATTAGATGAAGCAGGACAGCAAAGCCAGTGAAATGTTAGAGAGAGAGAGAGAGAACCACCCCCCCTGGCCAGCCAGGTAACCCCAAGGCACCTGATGTTCCGCTGATGGGTCCTGAAGTGCCTTTAATGCTGCCCCGTAGGAAGCACAGTTGTTTGTCCCAGTGCTGTATGCCTTGGTCATCTCCCAAATGTTCCTGCTCCGATCCTGTAACACCCACCTCTTCCCATCGCCACTGTAGGTGCTTATGGCCAAATTTCATTCCTGTTGGAACGCTCTGCTTGTAAGTGCGCTCTGCAAGTGTGGCAGGCGTGCTTCTGCTGGCACCATTTCTT